AGGATAAGGATAAGCACAGAGCAATGTAATAATAACAGTAGTAATAGCAATACAAAACTAGTATTTATTGAGTGCTTCTGTGCTATGCACTGCAAAGAGCATTTTACTGACATTTCCTTAACTTCCCAGATGAAGCACAGCTTCACTCTGCTCCTACACCTTCTCCATGCATTCATCCCTGCTGGTTTTTCTCAGTAGACTCTTTTTGCGTTCACCCATTTCAGACTTTGCAGTCTCTTGTTTGTTGATCATTTATTCATTCAAGAAATATTTATGTGTCATCATTGTGCTACCCACTGAAGCCACAGACATGAACAAGTGAAAAAAAGAACACAATTCTATTCTGCAAAGATCTTTCCTTCCAGTAGATAGAACAGAGACTCCATGACTATAGTGCACTCAGGTGTCAGGGCAGTTTGTACAGCCTGAGCGAGTGAGGACCAGGAAATGCTCTCAGTAACACTCCCCAGCCCACAAACAGATTTTTAGCATAATACAGTGTATAATAGTTATATGACATATGATTATAATATGTAACATACTATCTATATATTATACTAGCTATATTATAGACAGGTTATATATACATCTGAAGTTATTTTCATATTTGCATAGTTAACAGTCCAAATGTCCATCAATATATGTAATAGGAGAGTATTAAAGAAACAATGATACATTGAGTGCTGATATGGAAATAGCTACAAAATAAATAATAAAAGGAAAGGCTCGGAAGAGTGCATATCACATGCTAGCTTGTGTGGGGAGCAGATAAGAATATATAGTCACATTTTCTTACATTTGCACAAAGGTACTCTGGACTCATAGGCACACACACACAAAAGAGTAAAACAGGATGCCTGTCGGAAAGCAGAGATGGGAGGACCGGGCATATGGAGTCCAAATGCCGGGCAGAGGTTTTATTGCACATTTTTATGTTTTCAAACCAACTAAATGTATTAACTATTTTTAAAAAATTAAATGGCCATATCCTGAGGTGTTTTTGGGAAAGAAGTCTGCTAAGGGCCAGGTGGATGAGGAGCCCAGCTGGGGTAGGAGGGAGAAGGGACTTGAGGGATAAACCATTCCACGCAGGCCGCTGCCTGAGGAAGACTCGGGGAGGGGAAGGGTTCTTTTGCAGGAGAGGAGGGAGGGAGTCAGGCCGGCGCGGGTTGTGAGGACCTCCCTTGCACAGTAGGGAATTCCGATTTCACCCCGAACGTGATGAGTGTCACTGAAGGGTGAACGGAAGGAACACGACCGATTAGATTTGTGCTTTGTGGTCATCTTACAGGGAGGAGGCATGCATGGCGTGTAGGGAAAAACTCGGTGGGGAAGATTATTTAGGAGGTTACTGGGCAGCTTCAGTTGAGAAGTGCTGAGCATATGAGCAGAGACGGGGCATTGGGCACTGAGGGGTACTCATCACCCCTCCGCCGGATCCTGCTTGTCTTTGACTTCTCCCCTCTAGCATGGGTTGCATTTTTCTGCTCCCTCCAGTACCGTGCACAACCTTTCTGTGGATTCCCTGCGGATCTTCAACTTGGTGTTGCTGACAATTCACAGGAACTCTGCTTTAGGATTTGGTGACTTTAGGGCAACAAGAACCTTTTCTGGGCCTAGCACTTTCCCTCTCCTCAGCCTGAGCGCCTGGGGAGGGGAGGAAGCAGGTGGCGTCTCCTGGCCCCCTGCCGTGGCGCAGGGAAGGAGGGGCTGGCGAGAGCTGGGGGCCCGGGCACAGGCGGTTGGGAGCAGGGATGCTCCCTGAGCCTGGAGCTACAGCCTCACAGGAGAACCGTGACCTTCATTGCCTTTCTGAGTTCAGTTATTGTATTCGTTCCCTCAAGCATAGACACAGTCTGTGGAATGCTTATGACCGAGGTGACTTTTCTTCCAGTTCCAAGCTCCACTCACACGGGGCCCTTGCTCAGGCCACACTTACAGAGGAGCTGTGTCTGTGGGCAAAGCACTCAAATACTTCCCTCTCATTCGGTGGAGAGCCGCTCCCCAGAACCAACTTCCTGGCCACATCCGTCGGTCCCTCCCCTAGATTATTCTAAATATTTCTATGATTCCAGTAATTAAAGGGGTAACTCCCTCCAGCAGAGACACCGAGCCCTGCCCCCCTTCTCCAAGCTGACCCAGATGTTAAATATTGTGACCATCTCCCCTGATTTTGAGTAATAAGGCAAACATTTCAGTACATATTGGCCAATAAGAAGGATTCTCCTAAATCAAATGTGCACAATTCTGGCGGGGCGCAGTGGCTCACACCTGTAATCCTAGCACTTTGGGACGCTGGGGTCAGGAGTTTGAGACCAGCCTGGCCAAATGGTGTAACCCATCCTCTACTAAAAATACGAAAAATTAGCTGGACATGTTGTCATGCACCTGTAGTCCCAGCCATTCGGGAGGCTGAGGCAGGGAAATCACTTGAACTCGGGAGGCAGAGGTTGCACTGAGCCGAAATTGTGCCATTGCATTCCAGCCTGGGCAACAAGAACGAAACTTTGTCTCAAAACACAAAACAAAACAAGAACAACAACAAAACAACAATTCTAATAATTGTAAATGTAACCACATAAAATAAGTGACAAATACAAGAAATTCATACAAAAATCAATGACACCACTAACACATAATTGGAAAGTTATGAAATAATTTCATGATATATTTTAATATGAAAGCCTAAAATATTAAAAATCCTGTCTTGCAGGTGTATTACACAAGAAAGGTAAGGGAGCAGCAATTAATCTTTTATTTCTCAAAAGCTGAATAGTGTAGAGCTATGTGTGCAGGGTGGTAGCTTTGAATGTTTGCTAAAATAACCTGTGGATAAATTCATTTATAAGTGACAAGCACTTTTAGGTGGCAACATGTACAATTTATTCAGAATGCCCTTTAGGGAATGTTTTTATGTGACAGTCCAGCTCCTTATCAAATAAATAGTTGCTGTTCCTTCGAACTGGAGTTACTATGGGGAAATGGCTTTTGGATTCCACAGTGTTCTGCTGTATTATAAAGGACTGGCCATGCCATCACTGCACAAAATGGTTTAGCAATTTGCTACAGTATTTTTTTTTAAAGGAGAGTAATCTGTTCACATATGAAAGATTTTAGAGAAATATTTTCTTCATTTAAGATGATTAATAAAAACTGTTAGTGTCTAGCAGAGAGTAATAGAGTTATTTTATAACTTAAAACAGCCTACACATTTTTAAAAAGAAAATTTGCCTCCACATTGTTTCACAACAAAAATTTAATTTCATATGTATTTTGCCACAATCTTCTCAAAGGAAGATTGTTGATGACGTTATACATCCTTAAATTAATTCCACTCCTCGTTGTGATCAAACTGTGAGTGGGGCAGCCTGATGGAAGAAAATTACTTTTAAGGAATCCCTGGCACACAAACCTTCTGTGGACTAATCACATCATTTACTTCTTGTTTCTGTATATGGAATTGTATTCCAATGCCAGATTTTAGGCACTAAAATGCAAAGATTCTCTGGTGGGATTCATTCTTTAGGAAATAAATATTTGAAATGTAATGTTTATAAAATAGAATAAGCCATTGGCTCTCATCCTTCTTTTTCTGGAATTGAGGTGCATTACTAGGAGAAGGCATTAGCAGAAGAGCCTGAGGTAGCTAAGGGAAAAGGCACCACTTCTGGTGGATGGTGATACCATTTCATTGAATGGTGTGAGTTGTATCTCAAGTTAGAAATGCTTCCAAAAGACATAGGCATAGGCAAGGACTTCATGACTAAAACACCAAAAGCAACGGTAATAAAAGCCATGATAGAAAAATGGGACCTAATTAAACTCCAGAGCTTCTGTACAGCAAAAGAAACAATCATTAGAGCAAATCGGCAACCAACAGAATAGGAAAAAAATTTTGCAATCTACCTATCTGACAAAGGACTAATATCTAGAATCTACAAAGAACTAAAAGAGATATACAAGAAAAAAACAAACAACCACATTCAAAAGTGGGCAAAGGATATGAACGGACACTTTTCAAAAGAAGACACATGTGAGGCCAACAAACATATGAAAAAATGCTTATCATCACTGGTCATTAGAGAAATGCAAACCAAAACCACACTGAGATATCAGCTGATGCCCATTAGAATGGAGATCATTTAAAAATCTGGAGACAACAGATGCTGGAGAGGATGTGGAGAAATAGGAACACTCTTACACAGATGTTGGGAGTGTAAATTAGTTCAACCATTGTGGAAGACAGTGTGGCGATTTCTCAAGGATCTAGAAATAGAAATTCCATTTGATCCAGCAATACCATTACTGCGTATATACCCAAAGAACTATAAATCATTCTACTATAAAGACCCATGCACACATATGTTCATTGCAGCCCTGTGTACAATAGCAAAGACCTGGAGCCAACCCAAATGCCCATCAATGATAGGCTGGACAAAGAAAATGTGGTACATATACACCATGGAACTATGTAGCCAGTCATAAAAAACAATGAGTTCATGTCCTTTGTAGGAACTTGGATGAATCTGGAAACCATCATTCTCAACAAACTGACACAAGAACAGAAAGCCAAACACTGTATGTTCTCACACATAGGTGGGTGTTGAACAACAAGAACACGTGGACTCAGAGAGAGGAGCATCACACACTGGGGGCAGTTGAGGTGGGTAGGGGAGATACAGCAGGGCTTGGGGAAGGAGTGGAGGATGGGGAGGGATAACATGGGGAGAAATGCCAGATATAGTATGCACCTAAAGTAAAATAAATAAATTAAAAAAAAAAAGAAATGCTTCTAAAAACAAAACGCCTAGGTATCAAGAGAAAAAAGGTGTAACCTGCCATCAGGTATACTAATGGTACCAAAATTGCTGCTATTTCTGTTGTTGAAAAGATGTTCTCTGTGTGTTTATCTGTGGCACTATCTACCAGGGAGGTGTGGAGAAAAAAAACTCCAATAAAGAAGAATTATGATCAGAAAATGACATAAAATTGACACTTACAGAGAGTAGTATTTGGACGGCACTGTGGATGACCTCCAGGTACTGGAAGTCAACGATGCAGCCTGTGACAGAGACGTACGTGTAATCGTCCATCATGCCATGGGCTGAGGGAGGCAACACTCTTCTGACACAGCCAGGCCCATGTTCTCTCCACCATGACCGATGGACAGAGATATTGAATGTCATTAGATCGGTGTCCTAGGTGGGTAGGAGACAAAAGAGCAAAACGAGACAATTGTATTACAACACATCTTTGACTTTGACCTTAGGAAGAATTCAGGGTGGATGAAATTGCTACAGTGATTTCAATTTCACACGAAAAGTAACAGAAGACAAAGCCTTAAGTGACTGCATGTATTATATGCCTAAACTATCGGGTTGTGATTATTCAAGGTGGAGATATAATCCTTTGATTAATATTAGCATTTTAAGGGTAACACACATTAAACAAAATCGAGAGATGAGATCTTCCATATACTTTTATTTAAAAATAGTTTCTTCCTGGAAACTTTTTGGCTGCATTTTCTTGTTGCTACATCATCATGAATATCACTATCATGGGCAATATATTTTTGAATGCTTTATGGCATGGTAGATGTTGTTCTAAGTGAATTTCACATATTATGTTCTTGGATGTTCATGTAAGTCTTTTATTATCAACCTAATTTATAGTAGGCCAAATAATTTTCTCCACCAAAGATACTTAGCTTCTGTTCCCTGGAACTTATGAATTTTACCTTACAGGGCAATAAAAGGACTGTGCAGACGTGATTGAATTAAGGGTCATGAGATGGGGAGATTATCATGAATTATCTGAGCGTACCTTAAAAGAAATTGTATGTATTCTTAGAGAGGCAGAGAGAAATTAGACACAAGGAAGAAGAGGCAACGGCAATGTGACCATAGAGGCAGAGACTGGGATGTGGCAACCAAGGACTGCTGCCAGCCATGGACAGGGGGAAGAGGCAAGGAAGAATTCTCCTCTAAATCTTCAGAGAGAGCATGGCCATGCCAAGACCTTGGATTCAGCTCAGTGAAGCAGATTTCAGACTTCTGGCCTTCAGAACGATGAGAAAATAAATTTCTGTGGTTTAAGCCATCAGTTTTGTGGTGACTTGTTGAAGCAGTCAGGAGAAACTAATGTAGGTGAGGAAAGAAAGTCACATCGAGGTAACTTAATTTGTCCATGGTAGCACAGCATTAGTGGTAGAGCTGAGACGTAAGCCTGTGCAGTCTTTACTTTTAGCTATGATGTGGTATCCTATCTTACTTGCTGTCTTCCGCCTCTGAAGTCCTGATCATTTCTTATACCCTCAGGAAAGCCAGGTCCTTCCTCCTCAGTTGTTTCAAGAAAATTGCACCACGATCAATCACAAGAACAAAGAAGACAAACCTAAATCTTTATGTTTTAAAATATACTTTCAGAGCTCTTAATGGAAAAAAATAGTCTGGCTTTTGATCCTTAAGAGATGCCCTTTAGTATTTCTGGGGTGTTAACATATGAAGAGCTAAAATAATAATGTTTTGATCATAAACAATAGATTGAAAAGAACAGATTAGGGACCAGGGCTTTGACTTCCGAATAAATTAAAGACTGCAACCACCCATGTGGCTCAGGAAGAAGAAGAAGGAGTGATGGAGAGAGGCCAAAGCAGTCCCTGGACCAGGACACTGGTCTCGAGGGCTGAGGATGCAGGAGCAGAGTCAGCTTTTGTTGATTTCCCAGCCTCCACTCCCTCCAAGAGTGAGCTCTGTCTCAGTGTCAGGGGACCATGTTGGAGCATGATTCATATGTGACCTTTACGGAGAGGTCCAGAGGGTGCTCACAGGCTATGCAGCATAACTGAGGCACGTTTGCATTCCAAGGTTACTGTGAGGACAGTCTCCACTTCAGTGGCCAAGGATACTCCTAAATGCCTGAAATTGAGGTTGGAACTCTGAAAACTTAGAGGAAGCTAGTAAGAAATGGAAAGCCTTGAACTTATGCATGGGTGGCACTGAAAGTAACCAGGTTGGACCTCTCTGAAAACGACAGTGGGGAAACCATCCTTTTACACTGCTGTACATGGTAAGTGAATCACAAGGGTGTTAACATTCCCAGTGTGTATCAGTAGGCAGGGTTACTATACAGTTTTAGATTTTCCTCAGTTCAAGGAATTCAAAGTACCTTTATAAGTACGCCTCAAATTATATCAATAATAAAACATGTTACACCTTTTTCCTTTTAGTTGTTGGTTTGCCATTCACTTACCTTCACAGTTACAGCATTTTATTGATAATAAAACATTTAGGTCATTTTTTTGGTTGTTGGTTTGCTACCTGCATCATTTGCAGTTATTCTCTGAAGGGAAAATATTATACAAAAATAATTGCTTCAGCTACTGAATTCAGTTTAATGCAAGGCAATTTACCTGCATGCAAACTTCGGAGATGCACACTGATTGTTCCCTTTTCTGGTCATCAGATTTAATTTCTTGCAGTTAGATTTACTCACTACAGAGGAACTATGTATTATTTCTCATCTTAACAGAATTCACTCGGTTCAGGATGAACTAGCATGGTCTCGAAATTCATAGTGACTTCTATTGCTTAAGCATTCTTACCCAGTGACCTTTCCTATTGCAGACTGTAAGTTCCTTTCAGTATGACTTTAACGAAAATTTATATTATACAAATAAAACAAGAGTCGATTTATGAACTAATCATACATATTTGTTACACTCATAAAACCTTTCAGCATAGGTCTCACTAAATTTGTTGGAACTATAACATACTTATAAACGGTACTATTCCTTGCAATGACTGTATTAAATTTGAATGAAAATATCAATAACATCAAATTATATGTCAACTAACTTCTTAAGCTTTTGTTTGGGGGCTCAGAAAATTACACTCCAAAATATGATGATTTGGCATACTGACTACTTTGAACCTGAAGGACAATGGAAGAGCCTCAGAAGCAAAGTCTCTTTCTGACCTTCTGCCCTTCTTTCTCCTGCTTTTCTTTCTCCCTAAGGCAGGCTATAGAAACTAGAATTTCTCTTCTCTAAGAGAGATCATAGAACTAGAACCATTCTCCCCCACAGCCAGCCATAAAACCTAGAAGTACTACTCTATCACCTGACTTTCTGTGTAAGAGCTAGCGATAAAGAAATTCTCTGACCTACCATGTCCTAAAAGTAGATCATAAGACTGTTACTCCAGAAAGGTCTTACCCTATACCCAGGAAAAAGAAATATCACACAGAGAAGCCAAGAAGAATCTGAGAAGACAGGCCTTGCTGGGTTTCCATATTAGTCTCTTACCATTAGGTCATGGTCTTTTGGTCCAATTACATTTATTTTTTATTTTTTGAGACAGGGCCTCCTTCTCTTGCCCAGGCTGGAGTGCAGTGGTGAGAACATTGCTCAACCCATTCTTGAACTCCTGGACTCAAGCCAATTCTCCTGCCTCCCACTCCTGAATAGCTAGGGCCATCACTAGGCCCATAAGCCACATGCTGGAGTCTGAGCTTCATTCTACATGGCTGTGCATTCCATCTCCAATCAAGACATAGAAATAGACAGTTTTCCCAGAATCTTTAAGTCTTCATTTCTGAAGGCCTAATGTATTCAAGGTAAAACTTTGAATAAATCTCTAATGCTTTTCTCTTGTTAACTTCTTTTTGGTTTTAGGAGTGTGGACTAGGGCCCTTTAAATGGGGAAGAAAAGTATCACACCCTTTCCATTCCTACATTGTAAAATTTGATCTAAAGTTTGTGTCAGATTTCTATCTCTTTCAGTACTAAATTTTAAACTTAAAAAAAAAAAACTTAGCACATGACAACTTAGTTTTCTATACAAGGTATATCAAAGGAAATATAACACAGAAAATAACATTTTATAAAGAAAAAGAAACACAAATCACTTTATTGTTGAAGCTTTTAGTTACATCAGAGTGTAGTTTTGAAATACATGGGTGATATGGTTTGGCTGTGTGCCCCACCCAAATCTCATCTTGAATTGTTGTTCCCATAATCCTACATGTGGTGGAAAGGACCTATTGGAGGTAATTGAGTCATGGGGCTGGTTTTCCCCGTGCTATTCTAGTGGTAGTGAGCAAGTTCTCATGAAATCTGATGGTCTTATAAGGGACTTCCCTCTTTGCTTGATTCTCTTTCTTCTCTCTCCTGTGAAAAAGGATGAGTGTGTTTCCCCTTCCACCCTGTTTGTAAGTTTCCTGAGGTCTCCCCAGCCATGCTGAACTGTGAGTCAATTAAACCTCTTTCCTTTACAAATCACACAGTCTCTGGGATGTCTTCATTAGCAGTGTGACAAGAAACTAATGCAATGGGTTAATCTAAACCATAAGACAACAAAGTAATCTTAAAAATAATACTAGTAATGCAAATGCCATTTCTTTTACTTATTGGAAATAGACTATTGTGTGATAATTTAAGCACATCACAGCAAAGAAGGTTGACAATTGGTACAACTGGTGTCTATGCTTTTGTCTTTAAAGTTAAAAAGATAGAAACAACGGTATTTGGATTTATGCAAGCATATGTGAAGGGTAGCAAGATATGCTACCCCAAAATGTGTGACTTCAGCATAAGGATTTTTTGGGCTGAAGGCAACTGAGAAGAAGTAGATATAAACAAATCTCTCTGTCTTTTTCCCATTCACCTAAAAGCAAGACATAAATTTACAATGATGTCCCTTCCTTCTCTACCAGTAAAAACTAAAGTTAACTACCTGAAATTACTTTAGACATTTGTCATCCTGGAGAGGGCATCAGACAAATCTACATAACGAACTTAGCTGACTAGTTTTTAATCTATCACAAGTTTCCTATAACTGGCTTGTCTCATACTCTTTCTTGTTTTCAGCTGAAGATGTTATTTAAGCCTGAAGTCTAAGCCACCTCTTTAAGAATTAGTTATTTTATCCTGGATATCTTCCATACATATATGAGATATACATGTTAATAAACTTTTGCTTATTTCTTGTGAATCTGCCTTTTGTTAAAGAGTCCCAGCTAAGAACCCAGAAGGGTAGAAAAAAATATTTTTCCTGCCTTACATATGTGATTATCAGGTAACAATTTGTAGAATAAAAAAGAAAAAGGGCAAAGAGAAAACAGAGACCCAGAAAATAAAACCGATTAGGAGGATTTCAGAGGTGTGAGGACAGCCTGGAGACAGCATGTTAAGGTTGTA